GACAGCCCCCCCCGCGCCGCCCGCAGGCTGGTTCCCTCCCGGGAGGGCCCGGGCCGCCTCCGTTGCCGCGGGCGGAGCGGGCTGCGGGAGCAGCCGGAGGGGCTCCCGGCTCTGCCTGGGCACGTGTCTTCGCAAAACTTGCAAGAGCGTAGTAGTCCCGAGACCTCGCTTTCCGGACTTGGTGTTTTGAAGCGTGTGGTGACAGCGATGCCCCGGAGCCGGTGCTGTCACCCCAGGTGGACCTACTGCGGAGCCCCAACACCCGCGCAGTCCCCGGCCAGGACGGCCGCCCCCGTGCTGCGGAGGGGGGGGGGACACAGCGGCCCCTGACCGACCTGCACAGGCTGCTGGTCTGTCAAAACCGGGGGGGAATTTCAGAGAGGAAACGTGGCCTCCTCCCGTGACTTGGCTCCCTGGATCACCGTCTGTGTTAAAGCGTGTCCATCGATGGCCTTTGTCTTCCAGAGACTATAAGCCGTTTGGGGCTTGCTGCCTTCAGTATGGCCCCTTCGTCATTAAAACTAGGTGATGGACTGCGTGGTCTTCAGGGTCATTTCCAACCTAGACGACTCTGTGATTCGGTGAAAACAGAACTTCCTCAAAAACAAAGATTATACACACATAATCTTCAATTAATTCAGCCAATGTTTCATATGTGGTAAAAGATTTGTATAAATCTGCAGTTTGAAATAACGAATTTGGAAGCAGTTACAGCATTTTACTCTTTCTAAAGAGAGCTACTCAAATGGACACCAGGTAAGACAAGCAAAAATAGTTTAATAACTTGTGCATTATTTTTTGGAGGTTGAGCATGTGTTCTCAAGGAACAGCGGACCGGCCTTTTCCCCAGAGGGAAGCATCAAGCCTTTGTCAATGTTGGAAGTACAAAGGCCAGGTAATCCTCCACAAAGGAGATTTTGCAATTTACTGTTTATGGTACGGCCTCTCTAGTTTGTGTCAGCCCGGAGGCAGAAATGGCAGCTGCATGTCTAAGGTCTATGAGCAAAATACTCCTTTTACATGCCTCCATATCATTATCTCCCTAAAGCAAATAAGTAAAGCCACACAAAGCAAAAGTAACAGGAACACTGAAGCCTTGGTTTATTACCACAGTGATTATTACTATTCCCTAATTTGGGGACTCATTTTCACTTCCCTTTGAGCCCAACTGTCGGTTTTCCATTCACTTCAGTTTGGGCAGGATCAAGCTTGTTGATAATTACTGATAGCTGATTGTGCTGTGGAACATAAAAGATGAAAGAGGCAGCCAAAAGACACAAGAAAAAAAAAATCTCAATCACCAGGAAAACATGGGAGAATTAATTTACTTTTTTCACAAATAATTACTATATTCTTTAACTCTTCTAATATAAAGTAATTTTACAGCAGCTCAGTGAGTTTGCAGGATCGTGTATAGCTTGTGTGCTATATTTGGAGCAGCTTTTGTAGTATATTACCTCCTGGCAGATTTTGAGATTCTCAGTAAGTCCCATAATAACCGCTCTTACTGTCTTCTGATGCTCTTTTATTACTCCTGCTTTGGCAAGGCATGATTACTGCAACTCTTAACAAAATTCTGTTCCTAAAATCATGAACTATCCATAACTCTGCACTTCAGGGACTTACTGTTGAAGGCTGTACTAGCGCTGTCTGGAGGCCCTTGCAGGCAGCAAATCCAAGTGTGCACTAGGTGGTCAGCATTCTCAGAACAGCAGGTTTTACAAATCCAGACTTCAAGCATTCTCTTTTTTCCTGAAAAAGGATTTTTTCATGTCCTGTGAGTTACTGTCTTTTTTACTGACCTATGTTGTTTTAAGAACATTAATTCTTGGGAGAAGAGCTTCACTTTTGTTCAAAATATATATTATGGTGGTGTAGGTATATGCACACACTTGGGAAAAAAAAAAAAAACAAACTTAAAACGAGCACAGGAAAAAAGAGAGCTATACCTCATTGACCCCATTGTCTGAGCAGTCTGTCCTGGAGGGAGAACACTGTGATTAATGGATCTTGGCAGGATGAAGTAAAAGTAGATGAAGAACTCTTTATAAAATGCCTTTGTGTGAAATGTAGACTTCTGAAACCATATTTTGTTCCTGATCTTTACCTAATCCTTGGAGCAAGATACATAATTGATTAGGATTGGTAAAAAGGAATGACAGTATCCCAAGAAAATAATGAAAAATGCAACATTTTCCAAGGAATGTCAATACTGACATGTTCTGAAATTTTTTGTTTCCTGCGATTTCTTTAGTGATAATTGTTTTCCATAAGGCTTCCTTCAGTGATTTTTGAAATAGTGAGCGATCTGAATCATGCAGTTTCCCATGACTCTGGCATATGTGGGTGAGTGTATCTACAGAAATGATAGAAAACCAGAATGTTTTTCCCATGCCAGAGACAGATGACACTTTTCCCAGAACAGGCCAAATTCAGCTTCCAAACAGACTTGGGCAACCATGTAGAGAGGGGTAGGCTCCAGCTGTCTGTATAGCCTATTGGTTCAGAAGATGCAGAAGACCTTCTTAGCTAATACCTTTGAAGTACGTTAGTAAGCACACCTACATTGGATCTTTGCCTGAATCTGAACTCAAAGCTAAATCATGGTCGTGTACCAAATAACATACTGTGCATAATGTTTCTTCCTCTACTTGTGCCTTTTAAAGATACTTTGATTTAGTCCTAGGATTTCACATACAGGATACTTTATCGGTATGCCACAAGCTGTACTTGAGCTTTGCTCCCTAGTGAACTGAGGAGCACCTGTTGCACGTTTCAGTGAAGTGTATGAAAGCATACCGTAGCCGGAACCTTCACTTACACAAAGGAAACTATTCACTAGTAGTTTTGCAAATCTCTGACAGAATAGCCCCATTTAATATTTATAGGTTGTGGTCAACTGTCCTCTTGCTATGCATGATTGGTATTTGACAGAGAAAAAGCTTCCTTGGCCAGGAAAAGAGGAATGATTTTTAGATGGTCTGAGAGAGAATGTATACACAGCTTTATCAACTGGTAAATCAGATTCTGCTGTCAGACAGAGCTGATGCTAGTTAAATGAATGGGGAAAACTGAATTCTGCTACAATAATTTCCTGTTAACTGTAAACCCTTTACTAGTTAGAGTTTTGCTTGCACCCTGATTTGCTTTGCTTTGTTTAATGTTCTGTAGATGTCTTAATGAATATGATGCAATTCATATTTTAAAAGATTTCTCCTTGTTCCTACACATGTAGGGAAAAAACCACCTATTTGATCTGTGCCAGTGGAAAAGCATCTACTTCAGAGTACACAGTGTTACCTATCATATACTGATTATGCATTTTATTTTCTTCACTAAAGGAACATTCGGTAGAACTCAGTCCTGTGCATAACAAGGCTGGTGGGATAGCAAGTTTTGGTGTAGGTATCCCTACCAACAGCTGGATATAGTTATCCCACTCTGGTTTTAAGGTGCTTATAAAAGCATGGCTAGAGCTTAAAGGTGTTCTGCCACTTCCTTAATAGCACAAAGTAGACTGCTGTCCCCTCAGTTCCTGATGAGCCACACTGTCACCTGTTCAGACAACAGTAAACTGGTTTCCAGTATCAGGGAGGTAGTAGGGGCCAGGCCTAGATGATTCCGTTCTGCATTTTCTGCACTGCAGGTGATGTCATGATAGCCATGTCACACTCTGTATGAATTCAGCCAAATCCCATGAGCCTGAGATCCCCTCTACATCTGTCCTTATTGTTTCAATAACCATTTGTCAAGAAGTAAGACGTGATTTTGATGAATATAGATGAGAGATTTGAAATATGGTTAAACTAATGGACTTGGATAATTAGACTGCAATCAGGTACCAGAAATAGTTATCCCATAGGCAATTGCCTTAAAGCTACACCAAAATTATATTAGCATTGAGAAGCATCGTACGGAAATATATTATAGGCACTACAAATGGTTTTATTTCCTTTTTCTCCTTCTGGATACATTCAGCTGTTTCACTTGTTATTACTAGTACCCTGTCTAACCAGTTCAGCAATGCAACGTATTTGACATTTGTATCCTTCCCATCCTGGCTACTTGATGCGTCACTTAGGCAGTTTCACTTATGCTGACAGCATCAAAGGATGTTATCACAATTTTGTCCCTTGGCTGCATTGTTTTTTGGTTGCACTCAGTGAGAGCTGGACAGACTTCCAAAAATTATCTCTTCACAATGTACTGGTGACAAGGACATTGCAAAAATCAGAGGTACCCGGACTCTGGTTTATTTCTCATTCTTACTTACTTCTTCCTTAATCCTTGGAAAAGTTCCTTTCCTCCTGGCCTGTCACCTCTGTCATTTGCACTGGTAATGTCCAGATATATAATCTTGCTAATCTGCACCAATATTTGTAGCCAGAGTGATACTGAAGTCCCAGGAAACCAGTGTTTCTGGCATTTGGATGCATATACTCAGGAACTTGTTTTCCATCAGTAGAGGGCTTTCTGCATCTCCCTCTGACCCAAGTCGCGGGGTATTTCCATGGCAAGCAGATAATAAACACAGATTTAGAATATTCTTCCCAGCATCTCTAAACTTGTATTTTGTCTGTATCAGCAGTAGCTGAGGCTGTATCAGCATCTGTTGAAGTTTTCTACAGCTTTGAGAATGAGTTAGGGTTAATTTTTCCTCAGGGCTGACCATTTTTCATTTTTGACTGGAGTAGCAGTCCCCAGCACTGTGACCTTAATGGCCATGCCTCTTTGGGAAATTAATGCCTGTTTGCTTCAATGGCAGGATGTGAAATTTCAGGCAAATATGAATGTGTTGCCAGCAGAAGATGAATTAGTGGTGTTAGGGAGCGTGATTTATCATTGCTGCTAATCAGTGACACAGTTACTGTCACGTAGGCTTTGTAATAAGACAGATTCAGATCATTCTGATGTTAGCAGATACCTTTGTTGCCTTATGTTATTG